TTTCTTTCCCATGTGAAACAGTGGCATCTACTTGTTAGTCAACATGCTTTTAAACAATTCATTTGGCAGAAAGAGATGTAGTACTAACTGGGTCGGTCCCGTAGTTTGAGCGCTAACTTTAGCTCAATTGCTTGCAGGTAGAAGGGAAATGGTATAATCCGGCATCTATAAGCTTTTAGTTATGTGTATATTATGAATAATACCGAGCTTGAATTTGCCAAACTGGGAGCTGTGAGCTCGAGGACTCGAATAAACAACTGGTATAAAATATCAGTAGGTTAGCATAGTCAAAGTCAAATACTTGTTAGCAAGCGGTGTATCTAAAACGGCCAATTATTTGCCTTCTTTATAATTATGCTAAAAGCTTTCACATTTTCTTCTCACTTATAGAAAACCATCATTTATGGATCACACCTTAATCCTGAGACCATTGCGCGTTTTCCACATTGATTACCCATCTATTAGACCAATTGTAGCTTTTGTTGACCGAAAATTTATCGTTTGCGCGACGATACATTTGATGTCTCATTTTGACAAAACACGATAGCAACATAGAAAAAGCACATAAATTTTTTTCGTGATTCAAAGCTTATCATCATGGAATCAATACTTGTTACTGGAAGACGGAGTGGTAAAAGGAGGATCGGCCTCTAACATGATTATTAGTCATAAATTAATTTTCAATTCTATAAGAGTAAACGATGAATCAGTTTCTAGATAAGTTTGGTCTTAATGCAACAGTGATATCAATTCATAAATATCACAGGGAAGCCTAGAAAATAGTAAAAGTGTAAAGAAGTTCATAGTTGGCTGAATCCATTGAGCAAACAAAATATGAAATAACAAAGAAGAAAGAAAATAATAATTTAAGTATGGATCTGAGTTCGCGAAGAAGAAGAGCAGAACGTTGTTGACGTTTTCAAGGGTTTAAAACGGTTTAACACCATTTTCCGGCAAAATACGAGCCATATGGAAGAAGGTTATATGACAAAGTTGTGGTTATGAAAATATCTACAACTTTTATGACTACACTTTTCGCATAACTTAAATTATGTGAGAATGAGTAAAATTTAAAATTTTTATTTTAACTTGTATAAAAACTTTTTTTTCAAATAATTTTAAAAAAATTTAAAAAAAATGCAGGTCTAAAAATTTTTAGTAAAAATTTCAACAAGTAGTGGAAGTTCACAAATCTATATATATAGGGTGAGCGAAAAAAATTTTTTTTTGCTTAGCCTGAGGATAAAATTTGTAGATTATAAAACGAAAATTTTGAAACTTTTTGTTTTTAACATTTAGAGGCTTTTTAACACTTTTAAAGTAAATTTCAGTTAATTTTTGAAAAAAAAGTTTTTTGTTTAAATACATTTAATATACTGATGTGACGGTTTGACTCAAATTTATTTACGCTGAAGAGCATATTGTCGTTTAAGACTTTTTTTAAAACTCCAATAATGACCACACAAAACAAATTTTTAAGTTATACCTTTAATTGGCCAGAAAGAGGCTTCTATCACGATTTGACTTATCGGAATATTTTACGGAATAAAAATTTTAACTCGAAACTTTACTTTAAAAGTAGTGAGCCCTCTAGATGTTAAAAAAAATTTTTTTTTCAAAATTTCTTTTTTATAATCTACCAAATTTGACCCTCAGGCTAAGCAAAAATAAAAATATTTTTTCGCTACATCCCTATTATTGAATCCCGATTATTGAGTAAAGTCGCACATTATACAAAGATTGTACTCACTATCATCTTTCGAATCACAAAGCGAATCTTTGAATATATCGTCTAAAAGGCGTAAAATCTGTAATAATTTATAATACAAACAAGTATAGCACGCTTCCGAGCTAAAGGCTATAACAAAGCATGACATTAACAACATAATTTATTTGCACTTATTGTACTTATAACACATACACACACACACTCATGCACACATATACATTAAATACACTGATGTTTATCGACGCATATGATATAACTATTTTTATGTTAGTTTGTCATCCTGTGTGCTGATAATTTATTAGCGATTACTTTGCGCCGCTACCCCACCTCCTCTCACCATTTGCATGCATGATTTCATTGATATGCAATATATTCCTGCTATAAATTCTTAGAGGGTTGCTTCGGCATACATACATACAAATTTACACAACAATTTATTATTTATACGACCCTATTTGCATTAGATTTATCTATTTCCAAGTATCCCAACTGATTACAGCCGATCGCTGACAAATTTAGTCAAAATATCATTGAAGAGGTCAGCAAAGGTTCAACGGTTATTTACACACGGTACTTGACCTTTGTTGTTGGACACTATTTCGCACATTTTCACAACAATTGTTAGCTGCGAGTGTGTAATTTTGCATAATTGTCAATTATTAGGTACGAGTTTGCATGCAAAGGACTTGCATATCGAAGATCAGCAATCAACCCTGGTCCTCAGGCTCAGTATGTGTGTTTGTAGGTATATTCATATGCAAGAGGCAACATCTGCTTTGAGCAATTTTTCAATGCGACAATTAACATATTTTTCTACTCATAAAATCGTCGATATTTTTCAATTTCGTATATGTGCCCCTCTTTATTCGTGTAAGTATGTATCTTGCAACACGCTCCTTTTGCATGGAATTTCGCTTCAAATCATTTAAAATTTGTTTGGCATATTTAAATTTATTGCTGTTAATAATGAGATTCTTCAGCGTTTGGGACGCTACATTAACAAATTTCACAAAGTCGATAAATAGGAAAAATTTGGAGATACATATATACATATATAAACAAATATATGTACATATATACAAATATTTATATTGCTGAGTCAGTGAGTGATGTCATGAGGAAAATGTGAGTGGACATTTTGATATAACGAATGAATCTGTATATTTCTACATACATATCTACATATTATATGTGATATATGTAAATCGTTAGCTTGCACAGATTTTGATGCAAATAAAGATATCGCAGTTTCTTTTGATAATTGGATTAATAAATTTCCTATTTTATCTACTGGAATGATTATTTTTGGCAAATTCAATAAGAATGTGCAAGGATTACAAATATATATAAAATATATATAAAATCAAACGTTATACGTATGCGAACGAAGAGAAATTTATAAGAAAGAAACTTATATTGAGAAAATTAAATTTTCCTTTCATATTTTATTATAAATATGGAGTAATCGGGTTTTGTTCTAAACTCTGAATTAAAATATGATTTATTCAGTAAAATAGTGAAAAAAGAATTTTCTTCATGTAAAATCCACTCTAGCTTTAAAGCGTTTGGAATAGTCATCGTTAGCAGGTAAAACTTTAAACACGTCTTTCTCGATATTTTTATACACTGAGCAAGGTATATTAAGTTTGTCAAGATGTTTGTAACACCCAAATATAAACTTCGGAGTCCCTATAAAATTTATATACATTAGTATGGGCAAAAAAAAAAAATATAATGTTCATTTTATCGCTTACTCTGAAAAATTGGTTGATAGACACCTCTCCGAAAGGCTTTTTTGTGTGTTTCAAGTAGTTGGAAGCGAGATATCAATTTTTCTATCTGATAATAGGAAAAAATAAAAAACCGTTAGCCGGAGGACCTTCCCGTTACAATTAAGAGCTAATACTTGAAGAGCATTTCGAAGTGATATCTATTAACCAATTTTTCAGAGTAAAAAGCGAAAAAAAATTTTTTTTGACGCACCCTAATATACATACACATATTTTTCCCCATTAAGGAGGGTAGAGAATGCCTTCCTACCATATAGGGATTGTCATCCTAGGTGAGTGGTGAACACACTAAAATACTCCCCCCTTCTATCATGGATTTTTCCATTTTCTCCGAGACCGTTTTCGGATTACTTCAAGGTAAGTTTTCCAAAATGTACCAATTGCACTCTCCCTGCGTTCAAGGATACCTTCGATTTTGTAGTCAGCACCAAAGCTCACCTTCTAATTGAGTCGAATTCTCCGAAACCGGAGAGTCTTTAAGAGAGCATCTATGTTAAGTAGTAGTTCACCTCGCCGTATTCGCTACTGTGTCCTAACTTTATATCTTTCATTAGTTTGGCGTTCCCTTTACGCTCCACCACCGATCTTGCAGAGTTCAAGTGTATGCTTTCTCGCTTGTTGTCTTGTGTGTATGTCTATTCCGTCCATCTTTCATAACCGAAGTTGTCGTCTCTTATCTGCGAGTAGATCTATTGAAATTACGCCACTTATGACTAGCACTGCCTATGCGAATACAGTTCGATACGCCAAGGCGACTCTCAGGGCTGCTGTCCTCTGCACCTTAGCTATATTAGTATTATCCGTTCATGTTCCACGCAGCGAAACTTGTGTTAGTTTGCATCTGGCTATGTTGGTATTACGTGCGGTTATATCGGCGACGATGTCTTCTGCATTACCAACGGGGTAGCAGTCGCCTGGCAGTTCTAAGTTTAAAATTTCGTCCTCGCTGGCATTTCTTAGATCTGATACAAGTATGAATCCCTGTGCAGCTCCAGAGTTGACTTCCTTTGTTTGAGGACCAACCCTTGTATCGCATAAGTAGTTGTTCCCTGTCTTTAAAATAGCTTCGGATTATTTTCATTAAGTAGTTCTCTATTTTTTTCCATGAGTTCCTCTAACTATCGTAGCCTATTGAGGCGGTCTTAAAAAAATTATTAAAACGTCAATGTACACATTTTTTATACACTCAAATATATATTCCTTTTTGCTTACGCATAGAATTTATTGTCGGAGTTAGACCTTTTTTAGAGCTCTGGACTGTCTTAACGCCATACACAAACCGAAAAAAAATTGTTAATAAGATTTTGATTATATCCTTACAATATAATGCGAAAACTTTCGGGATTAGATGTTAGACACAACTATGAATACTTCCATAGAAAGCTAAGTTTCATACGATCTACTTATGTAAAATTTCCTGACCGCAAAATTTTTCTAAAAAATTAGATTTCGTTTTCCTTTCATTTTTGAACAGGTTATTTATTGTACATGTTATCAAATCTTAGAATGATTTATCTAAAACTCGTCAATATTGTCAAATTAAATTGAAAGTACCTAACAACCTCTTGAAAACTTCGCCAAATTCGCAAATAATGATGTGATTATCTCTTTTGCTTTATATAATTTGTATAAACGTTTCATTTGTGTTTATTTAATTTCACAGTCTGCTGGCGAAATTTCTTGAAAACTGAACAATTTCATTCACAAATTTGTAGAACTTCGTAGGATATTTGCGTCGGTAATAATAGGAGGAGAATGAAGAAAAAAATGTGCAAAATTGTAAGCGGCCAGTCTTGGCAACAACTGAAAACCTTGTAATGCAACCAGTAAACATTTACCAAAAAACTACTCACAACGGATGTGACTTTGTCTGAGCAAGGTATGCACAAAAGCGGGCAGCATAGAGAATGCCGCAGAAGGAAGAGTCGGTGGAGCAGTGCGGGATTGTTGCAGCCAGGCCTTTCGCACTTATTGCGAAATATTCATTACGAATGCACAAAGGACTTGCGATAAGAACACTCCAATGTAACGAATCGTGACTGGCGATTATTTGAATATTCGGCGTAGAACGGAGGTAATGGTGAGCGGCTTGGCAAAGCCGAGCGGTTGTTTCTGAATAGGTAAAGTATTTGAGGGGACTTTAAGTTAGTGGCATTTTTATGTAATAACGTTGAGAAACGTAAATTTCTTAATTTCTTTGCTTTAACTTCAAGATCCTACTTGAAATATGTAAAGGTTTGCATGTAAGTGAGGTTATGCGTATTAACTAAATTTGAGGATATTTATAGTGGAGCGAAAAAAAACTTTGTTTTTGCTTAGCCTGAGGGTAAAATCAGTAGATTATAAAAAAAGAAAATTTTTGGACAAAAAAAAAAATACTTCTAAAGTAAATTTCGAGTAAAACTTTTATTTCGTCAAAAATTGTTGGTAAGCGTTCTAGAAGCAAAGGAGAGTCCTCTTTCTGCATAATTAAAAGTTATCAACTTAAAAAATTTTTTTGGGTTCATTATTGAAGTTTTAAAAGAAAGTCTTAAACAACAACATGCTTTTCGTAAGCGTTAAAATAAATGTTGAGTCAAAAACCGTCACATTCGGTAACTTTGATATAAATTCAAAGAGTTTAAACCAAAAATAATTTGCTTTTGTCCACAAAAAATTTTAACTCGAAATTTCCTTTAAAACTGATTGGGCTGCCTCTAGATGCCAAAAAAAATTTTTTTTTCACTCCACCCTATTATAAATCCCGCAAACTTTATATTACAGTTAAGCAGCTGCTTATTATCGACCTCGATAATACATGCACTGAAAAACATTTCATTCTATAACCAAATTTTAGTCAGCTAAAATACCTTTTCACTTCTCTTATAGCATACCTGCCGCTGGCAACCTTAATCATAACCTATATACTTGTATTTAACTCAATAACTTGCACTCAAATATTATGCCGCAATTTTTCTACTTCACTGCGAAATTCCAGTATGCTCTCCAACCCAGAAAAAGAACAAACACGTCACTCTCATACACATTTCGGGTCATAAAAATATTATTATTTATGAGCACGTTGCCTGCGTCGGGCCGAGAATGTGACCATCAAAAATGTTGTGCTCATAAATTAACGGAGTCAATGGGTATAAGTCGGCTTTCGGCAGATTCATGTTGTTCAACGACGTGCCACAAAGCAACTCACATTCGCAACAATAAAACATACTTTCGGTGATCACTGCTTACGCATAATTGCTAAACGCAACCTTGAAATACAAGGATTATGACCAATAACTGAAAACCGCGAAATATTTTCCTTTGAATGACGATTATGGATTTTCATAAATGCTTAACTGTTGTTTGTTACTTTGTTCTCTCTTATTTTGTTTAGTGGACACATTGCCAACGGTGTGTGGGAGCGTGTTTAGTGTCGTTTACCTGTCAGCTGTTGACCAAAAGTGTCCTGTTTTAATGGTCGTTGCAATTAGACACGGTTGAGGCAAGAAATAGGGTAAGGGTTCTTGCAAACCTAATGATATTTCTTTTAATAACGATATTTTTATGAGTTTGGCATATTTCTACTATGTTTTATATTATATATTTATCGTCATAATAATATTTATATCATAATAATAACGAAATTTTTTTTGAAAATATGTATTTATTTGAAAACAAAATTTATTAATAAACATTATAATTATTTTTTAACAAAAAATTTTAAACGTATGTGACCATTTCTGTTAAAAATTAAGTTAATACGAACGAAAATATTAAATACTTAAAAATTAATTTATAGAATAGAGAGGTAGTGGTTATCATAGGGTTCTGTCGGAGGAAAATCGCCTACTTTCAATAATTTTTCATATAAAAATATATTTTTTCAAACTTTTTATAATTCCGAAGATACATATTTGATAACGATTTGGTGAAATTTTCAAAGGAAAATATTCAAAACTCGGTCACTACGACGTCATTTTCAGCAGTCCCACGGAAAATAGGTGCTTCCGCGTTGATAGCAAAATTTCTGACAGGATCACCAAAAGTAAAAGAAAAATAAAATACGTGTTTGAACTAAGACTATTAACTAGGTATTAGGATGGGAAAAAACCAATAAAGTGAAAATTGTATTTATGGCTGACATTTTTACAAAAACATGCAAATTTTGATAAACATTCCTCGACGCTTTTTGTTGTTTAAATAGGTGTTTTTGAATAAAAAAAAAAACATCCTCCGCGGCAAAACTTTGAAAATTATATTCTAAAGACCTGTGTAAAATTGTATAAGATCTTTAAAAAACAAAGTTTCGAGAGAAACGCGTTTAAATTTGTAAGTGACTATATAGCTGACCTCGAGCGCGCAAAGCTGTACCTCCAAAACTGTTACTAGTAGAATTTAGGGAAATATTTTAGAGATATTATAGAATTAAATAAGATAATAATTTTTGTTTTGTGGAACGGCGTGAACTTGCTAAGTTAACTTAAACACATCAGTATATTCGTAGAATTAATAATTGGTAGAATTCAATTTTATGTATAACCATAGCAATGTTTCGAATATTTAAGATGACCAATTATCTTAGTTTGTAGCTTAAGTTTTTGTATTGAAATTGTTTTATCATATCAATTTTGAAAAACTAGATAGATTTTGGCATAGTATAATTATGTGATTGTTAATGAGCAGGCAGAATTACTCCAATTCTTCTGCTATGGATTTAGTATATATTTTTTTGTATTATATAAACTTTGCAAATAGATGCTCTTAGCTACTTAATCTTTTCAAAAATGTCAAATCTGGGCTATGAACTTTCAGGGCTCCAGATACGCAAATATTTTGGACCCCAATGTGCATATGCTGTTTTTTACGATCATATCGGCAAATCTGTAGTTTAGTAAGAATCTGGGGTGAATATTTTGTTGATGAGATGGACACAGTCATAATGGTAAATGAATGAAGGTAACTCTTAGCCATACCATATTGAAAATAATATTTTAGAATTTGATTGACCTCTTTCCGGCAATAATGTAAGAAATCTAGAAAAAAAACAATCTCTTCTAAAAATAAGTGTATCTGTGCTTGCTCTGGATTGTATTATATATAATATTATAAATGCAATTATCTTCTCTTAATATCCGTCACTGTAATGATGCGTTTTGATGAAAGTCCTCAGCTATGTTTCAAGCATCTATCTTGGAACCTCTAACTCGACGTCGTTTTACAAAAGTATCTACTCTTTGAGTACAATATAGCATAAACACGCTATAATACCCGAAACATGAAAACAAAATGGTTGATGCAATCCATAAAGAATTTTGAGTTCCTGCCTCTGATCTGATGCAAGTGACGATTTCAAGCATTAAAAGGTGATGGACGCCTCGCATGCAAGATATTAGCGACTTCACACCTTCACGATATTGTTGTACCACTCAAATGCTGTGTTCATGATAGGTACTAATAAAACTCTGCAAAATTTCAATGTTCCGTAGTTGTGATTTATTGGAAACTTAAAGGGTTAAGGGTATCTGCATATTTTATTGAAAATCAAAGGGGTTTGAGGGTATTCTCTAGTTTTGGGCATTTTTCAAACTAGATAAAAATTAAAGACATTTTAAAGTCATTTCTCCTATCAATTTTTATATAATTTATTGGGATAAAAATAAAGTGGAGGCTGCAAAAACAAGGTGCTTCTGTTGACTTTAATCCAACACTTGAGGACAAAAAAAAAATTGAAAAATCTTCATTAGTAAAGAGTGCTGCTATATGCTTGAGTTTGCCAAAGAAAATTTACAAAATGGCGTCGACTTGAAAATTATATTCCTTTGTGCTCTTTGAATTATTTAAAACACTATTTAAAATTAAAATTTCCCATCCTGAGGCAGGCACTAAAGAGACTTATAACAACAGACTTTTATCATATTTCAAAGAAGCGGTTTGTACAACTTGAGTTAATAAGTCACCACCTCAAAAATAGTAGCGGGAGAAAAGCGCTTAAAGTTCATCATCCACTAAACCTGTCCACCACACGGCACTAAAATACCTATAACTCGGCAATAATTGAATTTAAAATATTTTAGTAAATTTCTTTAGGTATAAAATGGTCTACTTTGAATTTTTAATTTTCTAGACCAGAATGGCGCTTAAATATATCCAATATAATAAACCTGCAAGCAGAATGTTCTATTGAATTGCTAAACATCTGCAGGCTAAAGTAACTTATTAAGTCAACTATTTTCCAAAAATTTCATTACTATTACAATTAAGGTTGAAAGTTTGCGCCTAATATTATATTAGCATCGACCAATTGTATGATTAATAATTATAACTTTATTAAAGTTATATTATATATATATTATGTAGGCTTGTCATCATAATTCATCAAATTTACTGCCCTTGACCTAGGTCTTTACATACTTAACTAAATTTATGTATAGCAACAGTTTATAAAATTGGTGCTTTGTGGTATTACACAACTATACTATCAGGCTAACTTTTAAGGATCCGTAAAACTTCTATTTATTCAGCTGTCAAAATTTTATAATATTTAAATTTTCAACTAAAAACTGTCTATTTTAAATACAATTAATTTATGACCTTAAATCTCAATTGTCATAAAGAAAATCATTTACTCATACAGAATTAGAACACAACTGAGTCATTAACTAATCAAATTTATCAACGCTGCATTGTCTAACCAACTTCCGCTCATGACAGCAGCATGGTGTTTAAATATTGGCATTATATGCCAATTGTTGATTTATCAACGCTTTTAGAATGCTCAAAATATAAAATTCAATAAAATGAAGCGAGAAAGCTAGATAAACAAAAAAAATTGACAAAGTCAATTGAGTTGATTCAACATAGATTAGCATACTAAAATATGCAACTCAAAAATACCGTAAAGTGTATGAAGGCGTAAATAAATGTAAAATACTTCAAATTTTTTGTTAAATCTCAAAAAATACAAAAAATACATCAAGCAAAAAGAAAACAAAAAAAATAACAAACATCAAAATTATAGAAAGATATCTGATGAGGCAATGATAACAGCCGCCCTTTAACCCACCACTTGAAATGGTTTGGCGCGCATGAAAATATCTATATAGATATATATACATGCTCAGTTACATGCAATCCACCTATCCTCAGCGATCATATATGCGCTCACTGTGCATATCCAATATGCACATGCAGCAACATGTTCCTTAGCCTCTTTGAAATTGTTTATGAAATAAACATTTATAAATGATTAATCATAGGGTTGTTAAACTGACTGCACACACACACACACTTTACTTCATACAACACATTACATATATATTTGTAATTACACACGGCATACATAGCGCTTCCTCACCTTCAAGTAATGACAGTATGGCGGCCTTGGCACTTATATTTTGTTGTTGTTGTTGCATGATCGTATCGCCTTGCTACTGGCTGTCAACGACAACGTGCACTCATCATGTTTTTGTTGGTACTGTTGATGCTATCATCGATATTATGATCTGCTGCTGGCGGTGTCTTGCCAGCTATGAGTTCTTAAAACTAAAAAGTCCATGTTTCTTTTTCTGAATTTTCTCACGATGGGCTAGCCAGGCACTGCATGATTGAGTTGAACTAATAGTTATCTTGAGGTGTTCTCCATCTAAATGTGAGAAATTATAAAAGCTCTTCAAATGGTTGGGGTTGCTTACAGTATTTAGTACATAAAATAGCCAGGGTCTATTATAATTAATAAGGAAATGGAGCAAGTGAGAGTATAATTTGTAAAATTTTTGCGAATGTGTAGGATTTGTTTATGGATTATCTATTATTGATCTAGAACCAGCAAGTCAAAGAAATACTGAGGCGAGAGCCATAGAAAAGATGTGCGTTTAAAGATTGTTGCAATAATATAGAAAGGAATTTAAAGAGCTTTCAAAGATCTGAATTTTACATAAGGGTTCTACGATCAACTCAGCTAACGATCGCTGATATACGTCTGTTTACTTCAAGGTCGCTGGAACATCAATCGAAACATTTAATTAAATACCGCAAATAGCGTCAAGCAGCGGGTCCGCGCTTTGATTTCACCTGAAAACTACCGGTGGCACTATAGCCAGTCTTACTCTGTCTAGGATTTCATGGCAGTTAAATATAGAGCCTTGGCGTGCTGGATTTGAGGAACATCTAAATATGATAGATAACAGCTATGATAACAGG